AGCACTACAGTTTGTCCAGTGAAAACACAGCAGTGATATCATCCCTAGTCAATACAGATAAAACCTAATATATTAGGATACTTTCCTCACTTCCCTAGTCATTAAAGGCATAAAGTGAATAGAACTCACATGGGAACATATTTTTAACTGCGGACCTCTATGGTACCGAAATTGGGCAACTAAAGCTTAGTCTTTTACAAAAGGAAAGTTGTTAAAATCTCACCTCCTGGAAGAGAGGAGGAACAGAATCAGCTGTTGGTTCCACTAAGAGCTGTGGTGATGAGACTCAGTGCCTGCATCCTATGACATGGCAGTAGCATCATGTTAGTTACACAAAGACGTCCATTAATTTTGGGAAAACTGTATAGTGTTGTTTTGCTTGGTGGCTAATTATTGGCTGCCTGCTGTTCAAGCTGTGGACATTTCAATTGTCAGAAACATGCCTCTGTCCAGTCATTGCAAGATGCTCTGCAACATGGTGCCCTGTTAAGGGCTCCTCTTTGTCTTTGAATAAAACTGACAGGCACGATACCATTCATAGTGGAGGCCAAGGTACAATTTCTGCTTTCCAGAACTCATTATTGCATTTCCCTCCTTCTTAAGTGACAATTCAAATACACATAAAGAAGCTTTGGCAATTTTTCTCTTTCTGTTACATATCACTTATTCTTCAGACAATTTTAGAAGTATTTCCTTCATAAAATAATACTAAATTCACTGCACCACACCTCTGAAAACAAACTAATACCAACTGAAGAGAAGACTATCAAGCAATTTCCTCCACAAGCAGTACGAAGACTGAGAGCATCAAGACACCTCATACATATTTAATGATAGCCTGATAGGATGACATTAACATCAAACAGCAATCTAGGTTTGCTACATTAAACATGATTTCTGTGTTAAGAGGACATCACACACTGCCTCCAAGATCTAGATTCTAAGAAATGCCCATCGACTTGGACAAGGTGTAATGAGGCTAGTTGCACTGTGGAAGACATTAGACACATCTTGGATTAAAAAAAAAAAACCCAACAGATTCAATGGGTCATAAGACCAGACATGCCATAAGGCAATCTGTCATAGAATACTCATATTAAAAGTGTTGTGTCAAATCAGAACATTCAAAAGAAAAGACAAACGCTCCTTTATGTTGTATGAAGTGTAAACGTAGAGAATTAATAATTCATGGGATAGAAAAAAAATCAGATTTGGATATAAATATTAACGGGACACCGTCAACTTATTTAGACTAAAGTTCTGACTGTCTTACCTTAACACTGTCAGTTTAGCGATGAATAGTCTTTTAAAGCACATCAGTCAATTAAAAAAGTACATTAACATGAAAAAATTAAGATTTCCTGTTTTTGTAGGACCTACACAAATAATGTTCTTTTGTTTGTGTTCTGCTGGTGCAAAGCAAGCTCTAATTAACTATATCACTTGATTCCTGGAGTTGTGCTGTGTTGACATCAATCATATTGGTATACATGTAAAAAAAGTAAACCAACACATGTTAAATCCAAGATCCAGAGGTGGGAGTAACAGGATGAGAATGTCAGAATAATCAACATTTGACAAATTGAAAGGTAAAAATGTCATGCTGCCATAGAGTGATCTATGTAAGTTGCAGAATTACTCTTGGAAAAAAAAATATCTAGACTAGGGCTACCTACAGAACAACAATACATAATTTATAAAATAAAGAACTAGACAAATACTATACTAGGCATATAACTAATCAAATATTGCACAAAAAGGTATGTTACATATTTTTTCAACTCATAAACCATAACATTCATCAAGTATATTTCTTGAATACAATTTTATTAGTTTAATTAAATCATTTGGAGAATAGGGATGTGAAAGGTTAACCAGTTAACCGATAAGGGCTGGAGCAACTCCCTGCCCAAGGTAGGCCCATGTCTACCTCATGTCCCTCTTTCTGACTCATGTCCAGCATCCGGAGCAGCCTCTGTCCATGGGGAACTTGACCAGAGGCAGCTGCAGCCCCTGCACAGGAACTGAGAGCCAGCAGAGCCAGCCCCAGCGCCAAGCTAACATTTAATCGGTTAACTGATTAACTGGGATTTTATATACCTATTTGAGAATCTACATATTTAAACATCTCTGGAAAATGATGCAATTATTTTGGTGACTAAGCAGTTGGATACTCTCAAAGGTTATAAGAGGTATTTTTCTGACTCATGTCCAGCCTTCTCTGCATCTTATCTTATTAAGTACTAGGGAGCTCCATCCCCTGCTCATTATGCTTGCCAACCTGTGGAGGTAGGCAGCCCTGGCTCTCTCCGCAACCACTAGGGAGGGCCAGGTTGAAGCATCGCAGCCCTGCTCTTCCCCCCCGGTCTGGTGGGCAGAGCCGAGGCTGGGCCAGCCCCATCTCTGCCCTCACTCCCAGCCACCAGAGAGGGCCGAGGCCACGGTGTAGTAGCCGCAGCTCCCCGCCACGGAGAACCAGAATGAGGGAGAAAGGGAGAGGACATGATGATGTCACTCTGGCATCCTGTAGGAAATTTTTTTTGACACACACAGATAGAAAGAAAAAAAAAGATTTTTTGTAATGAAGACACAACATCTGTGTAAATTCAGATCCACAAAGCCAGTATTAACTGAGGGTACGTCTACACAGCAAAGTTATTTCGAAATAACAGCTATTTGAAATTCATTCGAAATAGTGGAGCACTTATTTTAAATTTAGTAAACCTCATTCCACGAGGAATAATGCCATATTCGAAATAGCTATTTTGAAATAAGTGCTATGTAGACACTTATTTCGAAATAGGGGACCACCAGCCTTCCCAGGGTGCCCTGGTGGCCACTCTGGGCACAACCAAGAACACTCCTCTCCCTCTCGCCCCTCACACTCCCCCCACCTCCCGAAGCCCTTAAAGGGGTTGACTCTGGCCACAGTGCCTGTGCCAGCTCCAAGCCTATCAGCCCAGAGCAAGCAGTCACTGATCCTGACCCAGTGGCCCCAAAACACAAGCCAGCAAGCTACTGGCAGCCAGCCCTCCACCGCTCCCCAGGAGCAGTCTTCCAGCTCCCAGGAGCATATCAGGGACCGGAGAAGGAGGGCACCTTCCTGGTCCAGGGTGGAGATCACGGACCTTATTCAGGTTTGGTGGGGATGCCCCAACATCCATGATCTCTGCACTAGAAGGAGGAACACCGACATCTATGGCAGGATAGCTGCCAGCCTGGCCACCAAAGGCCACATGCGAACCCAGGAGTAGGTCTGCATGAAAATCAAGTTGGTCTGGCGAGACCCCCAACCCTGAGCTTCCCCTCCTCCTTCTTCCCCTTGCTTCCTCCTTCCAGCTCCCTCCTCCCAGGAAATAACGCTGTAGTGCAGACATACCCAGAGTTCCATAGTGAGTAAATGACAACCTTTTTTCATACATGTGGAAAGAAAGTGTATATAAAAAGAGAAATACATGGAAATTGCAACCTGTCTTTTCATTTGATTGCCATGCCTCCATTCCTATATCCCCAGCCTTCCCTAACCTGCCCCTTCTGCACTTCCGCACTGCTCATCTGCTGCCTCCATTCCTATATCCCGTCACCATCCCCCTTACTGCACCACCCACCCCCACGTATACCCTTATCCCCCTTCCTTCTTCCCTACGCTCACCCTGCCCCCTCCCACAAATTTGTTGAGCTGCACACAACGCTCCTGTATTTGCAGAGCTGCAGCAAGCAATGCAACAAGCAGACACATGAAGATTTCTTTGAGGCCAGTGTACTGATTAAGACCACAAAAACAATGCTAGGTTGTTGGTGGCATTCATAGAGCAACTACAGATGGCACAATGCTGCTTCTCGATATTAGAAATGAGCACTGACTGGTGGGATTACATTATGGTGCAGGCCTGTGGTGACAAGCTGCAGAACTTCTGGATGCAAAAAGGAATATTCCTAGATCAGCATACCAACCTCAACCAGCTCTCCACAGTATGACAAAAGAACAAGACACAAATTGAACATGGAAAAACTACTACTGACTGCATTTTGGAAATATGCAACACAGGATTGCTACTGATCAGCTGGAAAATCCACACTGGGAGCCATTGTCATATAAATGTGTAAGGCTGCTAATACCATTCTACAAAGCAGGACTGACTTTCAGCCACGCGCAGGACATACTGGATGGATTTGAAACAATACGGTCGCCAAACTGTGATGGGATGATATCGTGCATATCCCTATTTTGATACCAGTGCACCTTGTCATAGAGGACGTCAACAGAAAAGATGGTGGATCACCTGGAATGTTTCATGACCAAAGATTTAGGGGACCCAGCCTATCCTTTGCTTGCCTGGCTCATGTAGCAATACACTGGAGACCTCAACAGCGCCAACAAAACATCTAGCTACTGCTAAACAAAAAACACTCCCCTGATTTGAACAGTACACTCTCAAATGACATGAGTAGTTTTAGCTTTATAGCTTCTCTGGAAAAACCTAAATATAGAATGGAAACACATAATATGCAGATGGACACAGACAAACAGACTTTTTGAAGATAAAATAAAAATTCCAGAAATGATAAATATTCCAGTCCCAAGGGCCTATCATAAACTCAACAACTCCAAGCAGATTTCTAAAATCTCAGACTCTTCTATGGGCCCTAATCTCTTGTGAAATACAATGTAAAAGAAGTGCCCAAGCAACTGACCTAATCTCAAACATACACACAATTAATTACTGCAGCATAATAAAGTATTTCCAAACAAACTTTCTTCAATATAGGGATGGAGGAGAGGGAAAGGCTTTACAGGTTTCTTATTTTAGTTTGTGATTACCTGCTCTTAAACAAGTAAGACTTATATTTGATATAATGGAAAATACAATACTATTTATAATTTAAGATAACCAAACATACCATTCATGAAACAAAAACTGAGCCATTAGAATGAAAAATAGAAACATACAACTTTGTTCAAAACAGATGATTAAACGCCATTAAAATAAAATTCATACCTTTATCATTCTAGAGAGGTCACCAGCATCTGCTAATTCCAACACTATGTTTAGCTCATTGTCTTCAATGAAGGAGGCATAGTATTTAATTACATTTGGATGATTCAGTTGCTAAGAAAAGAAAAACATGTTTCAAAATAAGGACATGCTGTTGAATGAATCAATGACCAATGAAGTATCTTTTCTTAACAAGGAAAAAACTGATATACTACAGAATACTGTAGAAGGGTAGCAGGTGTGAAAAGCATGTGCTAATACGAATTATTTACATTTCAAGACTGCAAGAATTTATGAACCAATTTTAAATCAAAGTCTCAAATAATGCTATAGTTTTGAAGTAACAAAAGAATGTAAATAAATACACATTTATTTAGATTTATATTAAATTTTAAATAATTCTGGAAGTTGTTAAGCGTCAAATTGTACTCAGGTGATAATGAATAAGACAACATAAAATACTGTGAGATGCCTAAAAAGTCTTCAAGAATTAAGTAGGATCTATTTTTAAAAGTTAATCTTGAATAAGTAAATACATTTACAAGTTATGCTTTAAGTAAAGAGCCATGAACTGACCAAGAGTGCATATTTACATTTTGTAACAAGCACTGGTTCGCTGGCTTGCTTTTAAAAAAAAGTCTGATATTATTGAACAAGCTTAAAGTTCTCTAAATCTTTTGGGAGAGGATATATATCAAAATCGAGCAAAAAGTATCAGCAGGCATCCAGTGCAAGAAATTTGGTGAAGTAGGTTATTTGTTGAATGGAACCGATTTTAACTTCTCGGTTTTCAACTAGAATAATTCAGGTTTGCGTATAAGAAGTTAAAATATATATTTTTAGATGACTATATATTATTTCCTATCTTGCAAGAACATGCCAGTCATGGTCAAATGCAATGTATTACAAAAACTAAAATTAATCCAAACTGCTGTGTTTCTTGGAAGCAACTAGGCCAGCTGTCAGTCACATGGTTAGCTTGCACTTCTGACCCATTCGGTCTCTCTCAAGTACAACTTTTCAAATCATTAGTTCTCAGCCTTCCCTCTTCTCGGAATCTCTCACTCACAAACCCAGTGCCAGAATGAAACATCCATTTTATACCAATGTTTCCTCAGCAGATCCAAGTGGATTTGGCACTTAGAATAGGTTTCCTTTTGTGATCTGTTACCAGCTGGTAAATGCAATGACTAAAAACAGGCACATCTGTAATAGCTCATGTCAGACTTCCCATGTGATGTTTCCAGTAATGCTTCAGGTCTGTTTACAGGCTGAACAGAAACAACCGAGATTAACTGTGGATTTTTCACACCTTTTAATGACATAGCTGGCTCAATCTACTTTTTTAGTATAGACCAGGTATTAGTTTCTTGCAAAAAGGTGAGTTGTCACTAGTTTTTTTGTTTTTGTTTTTTCCTATCCAGCTCATAAGGTGGCACTGGTGTTAAAGTTTAAAGCCAGTTGAGCCCTTCCATTCAGAGATAGAATAATGGATAGTAGCCACCAGAGGAAAGTGTGATGGAGGGGAAAAGTGACTGATGGGTTAGAAGAAAACTCACAAGAAAACTGCAGTTAGGGGGTATGCTCCAATTACTTCACACTGTACATTTTGTAGTGTTCGATTTACTCAAGCTGAGCAGCCACTTCCTCATAATATAGCTGTAGCCAGTAGCAATTCTTGGTTAAGTTTATACACTTTGCAGTGCAAACCCTTCCTTTCAGTTTCTCATAAACTGGTCAGATTTCAATCACGCAGGCTGAAATTTTCCATGTTTGCAGTCTGCCTCTCATATTTTTCAGTAACCTGTCTCTCCTTCTGTCCTCTCTGAACATCCCAAGAGTTTCAGTGTAAAGGTTCAGCTGTTTCCAATAGGGATGTAAGATTATTGGATAGTCAGCTAGTGATGTGACTAGTTCCTGCCCTCCCCCCCGGAACCTCTATCAGAGAGAGGCAGCAAGGCAGGAAGCAGGAGCGGGTGCTGGGGGGAGCCAGCTTAAAAGCCAATTCCCCCCAGCACCATCTCTGCTGGGGGCAGAGGAAGAAGAGGTACATTGGGAAATGGCACAAGTGCGACTGTGCTTTTGAAATACACAATAGCCCCAGCGGAGCTCTTGCACACTTCAAAGGCTCAGGAGCCACAGGGAGTACAGGGCCAGCAGGAGTCTCCACTGACCTAACACGCCTTGCAGGGCTTCTGTTTTTGGGATGTACAAGAGCCCCAGTGCCACAAGGAGTGCAGGGTCAATCCCCCAGTGGACCCACACTCCCCACAGAGCTTCCACTTTTGCAACCTCTGTTCCCCACTCCAAGCCCTTTCTCACCCCCTAACCCTTACTCTTGCACCCCCCCACACACACATCTCTAGCCTCCTGCCCTGAGACCCTCCTCAGCCCCTCACCCTGATTCCTGCACCCCTCACACACACTTAGCCTCTTGCCCTGAGCCTCCCCCCACATCCGTAAGGCGCTCCCTGACTCCTGCACTCCACACACTGCCAGCTGCCTGCCCTGAAGGACCCGGGCAATGCCAGATAAATCTTCTATTATAGAATGCTTGAGTGTCTTAATATTGTGTTTTCTTCAAATGCTTGAACATAAAAGCTTGCAATTTAAGGTCTTCTGCTTCTGAACGCTTGCCTGAAGTTTATTTTTTTTCAAGAAATGAAAAAGGAAATTAAATAGAAATCTTTAAAAATTACATATCAAAGCCTCACGTAGAAGACAAAGGACACTTTGTCACCATTTCCTGTTAGATGGAAAGAAAAATCAATAAAATATAGCTAAACTTTAACAAGTCTTTACCTTAAGAAGATCTATTTCTTTGATGCAGTCAGCCCGAGCTTTGGCATCCATTAAATCAAATATCTGCAGAAAAACCACAAAGCACTTTTTTAACAGCAGTAAACATTGGGCCACCATGATCATTTATTACACTTGAATCTCTTTAACCCAGCAACCCGGGCAAACAGGGTATGCCAGATTAAAGATTTTGCTGGGCCAGGAAGGATGCTGCAGAGTCTGTCCGTGAGTGGGTAGAGGTTTGGCACTTACCTGCAACCCTGCTTTTAGGGGCACATGTGGCTCCACACTCCTCATTGCTCCCAGGCACTGCTTCCCCTCCTCTCCTCCCACCCCCACTCCCGCTATGGGAACAGCAGGGAAAAGCTTCCTGGGAAATGGCTCTGCATTCTGTTATTCCTCCATCTGTGTGTGTGTGTGGGGGGGGGCGGGGAGGGAGCCACAACATGCAGAGCCACTTCATCCTCTATACCATGGGTTTTCCTGGATTAGGGATGCTGGCGTATGGAGGTTCAAGTATATTCTATAGTGTCAACAAAAGCATGCTGACCACTTGATGGGAAAAAATAGCATTGCAATAAGAACTAACTCTGATCCTTAGTACAAATTTTAGCATTGTGGTCATGCATGTACTGAAACAGACACACTATTCTTTCAGATACTTCTTAGAAAATAAAAGTAATTATCATTACTATATTTTTCAGTATTTTTCAATATTTTCTAAAAATACATACTGGGTATTATATGAGCAGCCATGTTCTTCTGGTAGCAAATATGAAGTATTTGAATATTAATTGAATATTTATTAAGCAATAATATTTTCAGTATTAATATCTGTGGTGGCCAATCCCTGCACATCTCTATGAAGCTTTCCTAGAGGAACTCTTTCATGCTTGTCACAAGGTTTCTGGGAAGGCCTGCCTTATTCTATCCTCCACAGTTGGACACCTCTCCACACCAAGCCAGCAGTAAGTGGTCTGGCATCCCTGTAACACAAAGCACTTCAGCACAAGGTCCAGCTTATTTCTGGTCACATTCAGTCAGCATCTGCTTCCTATCCTGTGAGATTCAGAAGAGGCTGATCCCAACCTGGATGAAGCAGGGAAAGCTATATAACTCATACTATTGAGGCAGTACACCTGTTTACTCATCCACAACAAAGCATGACCATGGGTTTACTGATCATATGAGTCCCTCCAAGCATGTCCTTTCTCCTCCTCCCTTCTGGCAGGCCCCTGTGGGAAGGGAAAGTTGCACTCTTCCAGCAAACGGGGATGTGTGCGTGTGTGTAAACACAGTGACCATATGCATGCATGCACGCCCCCGAGCTTCCTGGCGGCCCTGCGGGAAGGGAAAGTTGCACTCCCCCAGCAAACGGCCGAGGGGGGGAGGGAAAGGAGTGAACACACTGATAACACACTGACTTTGTGAGCCCATGAAAGCATGCCTGGGTCCTCCTCTGGCAGAGCCCGTTGCAACCACCATCCCCTCTGCAAATACAGAGGCACACCTCCCGCTGGGAGCTGCAATATGCAGCCACTGTGTTGTGCGTTCTTTCAAAGTGGAAGCAAAAGAGCAAGAGCCCCAACTTGTGCTTACTATGCCTGCCCCCAAAATGAGCCCAGCTGCTCCTTGCAAATGTGTGCATCGTACCTGCCCAGCAGGCACTTCAAGCTGTTACTTTGACCTTGTACATAACACATCTATTGTGTAGGACAGACGTTCTTTTGTGGAAAAAGATTAGCTTTTATGTTCTCTCACTCCCCCAGTTATCATGAATCAGAAGGTGAAAAAAAACGTACTCAGGGTGACATGATAATGAGCAAATGCAATTCACCTGCACGGACAGCATGCAACTAAATGCATGGAGGAGAATGAAATTGCAGGTGATATGGAGCATGAGGAGAGGAGAGTGTGCAGGGAACAATCGCAGGACTGAGGATGAAATCTTGAATCTCATGGGGCAGCAAATAGAGCTGCTGAGAGCATGGTAGAGGCACAGGAGAAGCATCTGGAACACCCTATGCACCCTACAATGTGGGAGGCAAATGGAGGGGGGAAGGAGAAGAAGGAGACCAAGAGCAGCTTTGCACTCAACTCCCAAGGATGTATCCTGGAACAAAAAGTTGTCATTTCCACCACAGCTGTGAGCAGGAGGATTGTAATGCA